GAAAGAGAGAGGGAGATGAGTAGTTAAGACAAAAATGAAAAAAATACACCCGAACATTCAGAATGAACATTTGGAATATTTCAGAATCAGAAGAAATGTTTGAAACTGTAGGTCTGTGTATATATATGCATTTCACCTAATGATTCTATCTATGTTTAAAGCATAGAAAAAAACTAGGAGAGGGGGATACTGGGAAAAAAAAAAGGAAGAAAACAACAGTTGTTTTGTTATACTTATTTTTTGATCAACCAAGAGACGGACCAAGAGGAAATTGAAGCAAAAAGATAATGTAGAAACAGGAGGATGTTCCATAGCTAGGTAGACACTCACAAAAATAATCTTAGGAGTGCAACAGAAGGAGAGATAAAAGGAAATACATATGCACCAGTATAATCCATATATGTTAACTTAGCTCTGGCTAAGTTTGAATTTATTTCCATTGCCCAGGTCAGTTAATCTACTACCACTGTTAGTGACTGATGGCTTAGAAAATCTCTGCCTTTGCAGCTGTGTGTGTGTCAAGTATGGAGTCTTTCTTCTTGCAAGATAAATACAAAAAGAAACTAAATCTCTACTCTGAATGAAGGGCAAAAGGGCATGGAGGGGTATAAAAATTACAGCATCACAAAGCTGGAGCAAGCTGTTCTTTCTGCATTGACCACAGGCATCTTTATTTTTTGCACTGACTATTAAAGGGGATTTATTTCCATTTTTTAAGAGTATTCACCTGGTTATAACTCATCTTTTGTAAAGTACCTCATCAACAACTTCACTGCTTCTAGTTAACTTCCCTCTATATCAAGTCTGACAGTTATTTCACCATTCTGCAATTCCTTGACCCTTATCATGAACACACTGTTAACAAGATACCTACCAATACCTCTCTTTTTCTTTCTGTGTACAAGCTGATTTAATCTGAGCAATGAATACTCTGCAGTTATATGTTTTCAGATTTTTTTTCAGAATTCAAATGGACTGTGAAGGAAGAGTCCAAAAAGTTGCATGATTTCAGACCCCCTGGTTCCTCATTATGGCCTTGCTGATCTGCACTGTCTATACATTTTTATCACTTGAAAAAGGAAAGGACAAAAAGATAGAGAAATCATAGTACAAGCTAAAATACACACCAACACACAAATGTAAGTACAAGTGTAAGTATTGGTGCATTTCAGCAATAGTGTAATATGAAAAACTAACACATACAGATACACAGCTTTCTCTTGTTTCCTGAAAAACATTAGGAAAGATAGATCCCTCTCAGCATCTGCTTTTCTTTCTTCAAGTCAACAGCTACAACTGGAATTAAACACCACTAGACAAAGAAACAACATCCCTTGCTTTACATCAAGCATTTCCACATATTTTTATTGTTTCCTGTTTTTCCCCACCTTGTTAAATGAGCCACTGGGTGACCAGGCAGCACTATATCAGTGTCCACACGACCAGACACGTAAGCCATCCCCTGGGGATTCCTCACAGCAGAAAAAAGCTGCCTTGCAGAAGTTAGTTTCTTCCACTTGAGCTTTCCCTCAGATGCGAGCAGCCTCTCATCTCTAGAGGGCACCCAATGAACGCAGCTCTGGGGCACAAAGCATCTTCCTGCAGGCTACAGGATTTACCACTTTCAACCGACTTCTCCCTTTTGTCTCTAACTGTGCTTCCAGGCAAACCAGTGGGGCTGGAAAGGTTTGGATCATTCCAGTTACTCTTTTTCCAGCTTGTCATGTAAGCTTGTCCAGAGAACTTCCACTAACTACTCCTTTCCCTCCTGCCAAATTTAGGAATGGCCATTTGCACCTCTTCGAGCAGGGCCCCCAAAGCCCCTTACCTTATGATGACAAACATTACCAGAGAGTTTCCCACCAAGCCGACAACGAAGACCACTGAGTAGACAGCAGTGATGATGATGGGGATGACAGGTGAGATGCTGGTGTGGTTGTGATGGGTGTCCCCGAAGGCCCCAGTGGTGTTGCTGTCATAGTCCACCCAGCCCAGGAGCCAGCTGCTGCTGGTGCTGGGGGGATAACAGGGCCCTGGAGAGCAGGTAGAGTCTGGCTCATCACGGAAAATCTGTACAGGGGCATCCATAGGGACACTGCTGCTGCAGGCAGGAGGGAGACTGGGATGAGAGTGCAGACAGCAGGCAGTCAGTACACTGGAAAGAGGGAAGAGAGGCAAAGAAATAGAAGTGCTATCACAGGACATTAGGACCTCCAAAATTTGTCCATGTTAAGGGGAGCCCTGCTTTGACGGGAACTGTAATTTGCCAAGTAAAGCCAATCGCATTCATACTAATAATTACAAGTTTTACATGTCACTGTCTACTGGGTAAGTGTTGCTCCTCCAGATGCATAAGGAAAGTTTTCCTCCACTTTCAGAGATTGCACAGAGAAACAAATCAGATGGGAAACAGCTCAGATACACCCCCATGCTTTAACCCTGTCTCTCCCACCCTCCACATTTTAAGTCAAAGAGTATCCTAATGATAAGGGCTCCTTACTGCCTAAGCTTAAAAGGGGGGGGGGGGGGGGAGAGAGAAACCTACCACCTTTCTGCAAATCTGCTTTGACATCCTGCCCTGAGTTATTTTTTTCCCAATCCCATACTTGCTTCCAAAGAAGAAACACATTAGTGAAACAAAATACCTCTTTCAGCCTGCGAAAAGGAGTGGAGTCCTCAAACAGCTGCTCTTTGCAGGAAAAGAAAAGAAATAAAGCAGCTCCACTTGTCTCCTGGAAATACCACCGACCTTCTAGGACTTTTGACCCTGAGGCACCTGCGCCTTGGGAGAGGCGTGCTGGCAGCGGACGCGATTCCCGGGCAGGAGCTGCGATGTGGTAGCAGAGGTTGCTGCTGTTCCAGCTCCCACCACTTCGCCTTTTCCCTCTCCGGCTCCCTCTGCCTCCCCCTGGCTCTGCCAGGGCTCCAGCAGCACTCTGCACTGATGCACACACACGTTCTCCGCTGCCTCTGTCCCTGCAGCACAGAAGCTCACATGACTTCTTTCTAAATACTGAGAGGCAGATAAATTAAAAGAAGAGCAAAAAAAAATATGTTCTGCAACAAATGAATGCTTATTTTTAATACACTTTTCTAAGTTGTCTTTCTTTATTTCCCTTGCACTTTCAGGCCTCAAGCAATGATCTTTTCTGACTTATTTAATCCCACGTGCTTTTACAGAACAGTGGATGCTGAATAAAGCAGGAATTTTCAGTTTAGATGCCTTATCTGATCCATCAGCTCTTTCAGCTCCATCACTGTGCATCCAAAACACTTCTTGCTGGGTGGCTATGCCCCTGTTCCTTTACACCTGCAACTTGGAGGAAAGTCAGAGGCTGGCTACCAAGGCAGAGAGGAGCATCCCAATTACTTTCCTTAATTTATTCAAGCTGTCCCACACTGTATGAGAAGCCAAGAATTCCCTGCCAGCACTCTGATCTCCCCAAGTTCCAGCTGCAGCCAGGGATGGGGAGAGAGTGCGCGCAAATATAACAACACTCAGAGCTTATCCCTAACATACTCCATCAAGCAGAGGTTGGAAATGCACCAATCTGGGTTCAGGATATCCCTTAATTTGCAAACAGAGCTTGAAATCTCCACCAGGAGTCCCTCTAAATGGCAAATTGGAGAGGTCAGGTGAGACCCAGAGTTGTTCCCAATCCCTTGGAAAAGGTGGGGAACAGCCAAAGCATGCTGCAGAAAAGCAGGTCTCTGTGGCAAAACCAAACAATTGTGCCTCTCTGGGCATTTGGTGAAACTTAGGTGGCTGAGAAAGGAGCTCATGGTCCTCTTGTTGAGTGTCTGTGACCAGGCTGTGGTTTATATTTCTAAAACATTTTTTTTCTAAACCTATAATCAAGATGAGTCATTATGTCAGCTGTAGACTCAAAAATCATGAAGGAGGTTTAAGATGTACAGATCCTCTTTCTTAGAGGCAGAGGCTTGTGCAAATACAGTGATGGCTTTGACTCCAGTCACAGCTTTCTCCAGAACATCAGCATCTGTTCACTATCATCTGCATAGAGCTGTCTAAAAGTTTCACCCTTACATTATGTAATAAATTGCAAAACATCAAACACATGACAAAAACAACCTCAAGCCAAATATATTTTAAGGATCGAACATAGACATGGGACAATATTAATATCTTGGAACATAAAGGGAGATCCTAACATAAAATGTAACCTCCATCCTGTTATCCTCTGTAATCCATGGGCTTTTGCAAACATACTAAAGGTAATTGCTACTGCTACTTCTTCGCATATATATTTTTCCTTGGCAATTTTCAACTTCTTGTTAACATTTTACTTGGACTTTTCCACATTCTGGAATTGAAATATACAGGAGGGCTGTAAGATAGCAATATTTTAGCATTCATTGATAATTCAACTATTCTGAGCATTCATTCTATATGGATAAACACCTTAAATTTGAGCATATACATCTACAAAATAAAATGGATTCTAAGGGTTAGGCTGAATTGTGGGAGAAAAAAGCAACAGTTTGTCACTCTGTAATTGCTACAGCTGGATCAGAAACTTCTATAGGGGGAAGAAAAGTCTGCCATTGCTCCACATAAATCTAAAGCGCAGATGATGTAAAAAAACTCAGTAAGATTAATAGCAGAGCAAAAGCTTTTTCGGGCATCAGTGGCTGGACAGTAAACTACTCTTTCTCTAGTTAAATTCTGTTCTGAAACTCTCCGGTGTTAGAGAGCAACCTTAGAGCTAACACAAAAAAAGTTGTGTTCACAGCTACAGTCACTGAATCTTAATGGAGTGTGCACTGCAACCACATGACACTGGAATAACATGAAGTTTGACCACAAGACTGCAAACTACTGGGTGAGCCAGAGACAACATTTAAGTTACCTTGTGCTTTCTGTCTGCATGTGCTCCATGTTGGAGGCTCAACTCTGACTCTTGGTAGCTGTAGGCCTTTGCAATTCAGTAGAAAGAAAACACGGGGGTAAAGAAATGCCTTTTCTTGAGAAGGGCAATGAAGCTGGTGAGGGGTCTGGAGCACAGGCCATTTGAAGAGTGGCTGAGGGAATGGGGGTTGTTTAGCCTGGAGAAGAGGAGGGTGAGGGGATACCTTATCATCCTCTACAACTACCTCAAAGGAGGTTGTAGTGAGGTGGGGGTTTGGCCTCGCCCAAGTAACAAGCAGTAGGATGAGTTACACCTCAAGTTACACCAGGGGAGGTTTAGATTGGATATTAGGAAAAATTCTTCACTGAAAGGATTATCAGGCATTGGAATGACTTGCCCAGGGAAGTGATGGAGTCACCATTCCTGGAGGTATTTAAGAGACAGGTAACTGAGGTGCTTAGAGACATGGTTTCACAGCGGACAGGTTATGGTTGGACTCAATGGTCTTTTCCACACAAGTGATTCTATGATTCTGTGATTCTTCTGAAAGTCAAGTCAAATTCTTATAGACTGTTAAAAATAATCTTTTCCTTTCTTATGTTTGCTTTCTTGATGAAAACTTTGATATCTGGATTATCAGCAGTAGCTAGTCTCACCACAGGTACTGGAAACACCTGCAAAGACATCAACAGAAGAAAACAAGGGCAGAGGGAGAACCACAGTCCATCACGATCTTCCTCTCCTTCAATACGTAACTGCTCAGTGCCTCTCTGCCCTTCCCAATAGCCCTGCAGTAGAGACCAGGAGTCTCCAGAAGGGAGGGAAGAGAAAGAAAGGGTTTGCAGGTGACCTAATCCAGTCTGTGCACACATGGATGCCAGATGTCCCTGTTCCCTCTGTGGGACTACATTAGAAAAAAAGGCCCTGTCCTTTCAAAGGAAAGCAAGAAAATATTTAGGGAGGGCAGACATCCCAAAAGCACAGTCTCACCACTCAGCTACAACTTTCCTTCAGCACTGTTGCACAAACCTGTGGCTCAGATGCCCTCAGATTTTTTCACTACAGCACTGTTGAATCAGTGTTCACCTCACTGGACTTTGGGAGACACAACAGAAATCACCTGGACTTTTTAAAATTAAAATACAAAACTATATATCAAACTATTTCAGGAGCATTGTTTTAGCTGTGAGTTCCAGCCCTCAAAGGTAAAGAAATACCACACTCAGTTGTCCAATACCCAGGCACTATAGTACACGTGCATTTACACAACCAGGTCTTTTTTCCCCAAGCTTTCTGCTGTATTCATAGATCAGCTACACAATATTGCTACATTTCAGTGGAAGGATAACCATAAACTGGAAATTTTGTACCTGTAAAGTGTTTTCTTTTGCAATTCTAGTGAAATTCTTTGAATGAATAAGGAACATGAGGGGAGGGAGATATATGATATTTAACAATAGCAGGTAGGAAGGACTTCAGAATTGCCCTTTTTATTATCAAAAGCTGAAATAAAGAGCTGTCCCCATCAGCACAGTGCTCCCAAAACCTTGACAATGTGCTGGGACATTAATTCAGCCCTGACTCAGAAGTAAGAATGAACCACACTGAATCACTGGCACAACTCTGTGCAGCACCCGCGCACCATGCAGAGACCCAGCTCCATCCCTCCAGCACAAGCGGGTTTTGAGAGAAAGCTGCTTAGTTGCCAACATTGTCTCTTGACATGACACTTTCTAGGTTTGAGTTGAATGTAGAGAACAGGGCAGACCTTTAAGTTCAATCATGAATGGTAATACTGGATACTTTGATACAGGACCATTTGCAGAGGTCACTTTTTTATTCTAGATGTTGGGAGAGAGGCCAAATAAGTTAAGTAGAGCAGTCTGTTGAGATACCTTTTCTAGTTCATAATTGGTTTTATCACCTTGTTGACCAAAGGCTAAAATAATAGTGAACCTGAGTAAAGGGAAGAGATGCTGGAAACATATTCTGGTGGCTCCAGTTGCCAGGGAAACAAAGTTCTCTTGTTTCTCTGCATCCAGAAATGTTAGCTCTCTGTGTGAATGCAGCTCTCAGGAAATGGTGTGTTTTGTCCTCTTCAAACACCAGCAAGGGAGAGGAGCGGGGAAAAGAGAGGCAGGAAAATATGTGTAATATGGCTTACTGAACTGTTTTTGTACACATATTTTGATCATAGCAGATTAAATCTTCAGCATA